GAAACAACGAACGCCACTTCCACCGCGCTTAGCGTGTACAGGGATGGCGCCTGCGCGGCTGCTCATGGCACCCCGCTAGCGGAGCCCCACTAGGGACTCAATTTGCCGACCATCGTTCGATGACCGCGAACTGTGAACTGCTACGCGCCTGGCCCATTTAAGAAAAAGCTGTGCCGCTTGTTTGTTTCGTTTGTTGGCGTCGCGTTCATGGCGGGCGCGATTGAGCGCGTTGGAATGCGCGCGCGTACACCGCGGGCGCAGGAAGCACGCGCCCAATTGCGACATCGTCCAACGCGAAATTCGCCCGGGAGCGGCCGAACTCGCACCAAATTGCGCCGCGCTTGGAAATTATCAGAATCGCAGACGCGCGAGCACTGCGACCGCGCGCGCCCCCACGGAAACCAACATTGGTCATCGACAAATACCACGCTGCAGGGGAAGCAGCTCAACAATTCGACACCGAATTCTTCCCCCCCCCCACACACACACACACACACACACACACACCACACACACACACACACACACACACACCACCCCACCCCACGCACACACACACACACACACACCACCCAAGCAAGCCCCCAGCCCATCGCAAGCACAACTTGGCGCCTGGGCGGCTGCTCCTGCGAGTCCACTAGCGGAGCATCCAACGGGGGCTCGAATCGTCGATTCTCGCGCGATGGCCGCGAGGCGTCAAACTGCGCCCGGGCCTAGAAAAAAAAGAAGCGGCTGCGCCGCTTCTCTTTTTTTTTGGCGTGGTCTTCATGGTGGTGGTGGTGGGGTGGGGGGGGGGGGGGCGGCCACGCCGCTTTTCTTTTTTTGTTTTTTTCATGGCGGGGGTTAAGGGGGAGGCACTGTTTTTGATGATGGTTGCGGTCTGGGGCCGCGCTCCGAAAAACGAACTTGGCAGGAAACCGCTGCAGCCAAAAAAAAATCATGCCGACCTTGATTCAGCTCGAAATTCCTGCTATCAAAACGCTTTTGGGGCGCATGCAGCGCGCGCGCAGGAAGCAGTGGCCAAATTGGAGCCCTGGCACGGCCGAGCTCAAACGAATTGCGCCGCAATCGGAAACGATCAGAATCGCTGCCGCGCTAGCACTGCGACCAAGTGCACTCGCACGCAAGCCCAAATTGACCAGCGACAAACGCCACGCTACAGGGGGCGCAGCTCCAAATTTCAGGACCCCCCACTAGCGCCACCACACCGCCACCACCGCCACCCCCCACCGCCCCGCCCCGCCACCACCACCCCGCCCAGCCCACCCACCCACCCACCTACCCTCCCACCACCACCACCACCACCGCCACCGACGCCAACACCCACCACGCCACGCACGCACGCGCACGCACGCACGCACGCACGCGCACGCACGCGCACAAAAAACAGATCCGCCACAAACGCCACTTCCACCGCGCTTAGCGTGTACAGGGATGGCGCCTGTGTGGCGGCTCCAGGGCCCCACTAGCGGAGCCCCGCGCGGGGCTCCAATGGTGGGTCCTCGCGCGATGGCGGCGGCGACGCGCCGAACTGTCATGAGCCCCGGCGGTGACTACAAGAGAGGCGGCTGCGCCGCTTTTCCGTCTCTCCGTCTCTCCGTCTGTCTGTCTGTCTGTCTGTCTGTCTGTCTGTCTGTCTGTCTGTCTGACGCCGAGCAGGCCCGCGAGCTCGCCCGCGCGCACCGCGTGCTCTCCTGCGGCCTGCAGGGCGAGCTGGCGCGGCAGCTGCGCGCGGCCGCTGGCTTGCGCTGAGCCGACCGCGGGCGGCGCGCTGGCGCCTGGCCACCTGGGGCAGCTGAAGCGGCGGCGGCGGCGGCGGCGCGCCGGCGCCGGGGCGCTGGCGGCGACTGCGGCGCCGGGGGCGCCTGAGGCTCCCGCGGCGACGGCGGCTGCGGCCGCGCTGTTCGGCGCGGCGCGGCGCGACGTGGGCGGCGGCGGCGCGGCGCGGCGCGGACGGCGGCGGCGCTGCTCGGCTGGCTGCGCCGGAGTCCTGCCGCGCCGGGCGCCACCGCGAGCCGGCGCTGCGCCGCTGCCGCGAGCTGGCGCGGAGCCAGGCGCGGCGGGCCGGCGCCTCGGGCGGCTGGCGACCTGGCGACCTGGCGGCGGCGGCAGCGCCTCGGGCGCCTGGCGCCCCGGCGGCGGCGGCGGCGCACTGCTGGCGGCGGCTGGCCGGCGGCTGGAGGGCTGCGCAGGGCGGGTGCCGCCGGGGCGTCGGCTTGGGTGCGGGCAATTCCCGCCCCCTGGGAGAAGTCCTGCTGGGATTTCTCCCGGGGTGGGGCGCCAGCAGCAGGCTGCGCCTGTGTGCTGGCGCGGGTTTGCCTGCGCCCTTGCTAATGCTCCTCCCCGAACAGACTTGGTGCGCAGAGTCTGTCTGTCTGTCTGTCTGTCTGTGTGTCTGTCTGTCTGTGTGTCTGTGTGTCTGTGTGTCTGTCTGTCTGTCTGTCTGTCTGTCTGTCTGTCTGTCTGTCTGTCTGTCTCTCTCTCTCTCTCTCTCTCTCTCTCTCTCTCTCTCTCTCTCTCTCTCTCTCTCTCTCTCTCTCTCTCTCTCTCTCTCACTCTCTCATTTTCTCTCCCTCGCGTGCAAGCCCAACTTGGTCGTCGACGAGCGCCGTGCTGCAGGGGGTGCAACTCACTGACCCAGTTCCCTATCCTATTCCACGAAACAACGAACGCCACTTCCACCGCGCTTAGCGTGTACAGGGATGGCGCCTGGGCGGCTGCTCATGGGACTCCACTAGCGGAGCTCCACTAGGGACTCAATTTGTGGACCATCGTTCGATGACCGCGAACTGTGAACTGCTACGCGCCTGGCCCATTCAAGAAAAAACTGCGCCGCTTGTTTGTTTCGTTTGTTGGCGTCGCGTTCATGGCGGGCGCGATTGAGCGCGTTGGAACGCGCGCGCGTACACCGCGGGCGCAGGAAGCACGTGCCCAATTGCAGCATCGTCCAACGCGAAATTCGCCGGGGCGCGGCGGAACTCGCACCTAATTGCGCCACGCTTGGAAATTATCAAAATCGCAGACGAACGAGCAGTGCGACCGCGCGCACCCTCACACAAACCAACATTGATCATCGACGAATACCATGCTGCAGGGGAAGCAGCTCAATAATTCTGCGGCGTCCGAAGGCCACTAGATAGTGGCCTTCGGACGGAGTGGTCGATGAGGAATGTGCCAAATTTCAATTCCACCTCTTCCTCACCACAGCCTTCCTTCCCAAGGACGTCCACAGCCTTCCCAAAACACGCTAAGTGAGGCGAACTAGGTTCCACGCTAAGTGTAAGACACTTAGCGTGTATAGACATTTTTCCCAATACACGCTATACATAGATACCTGACCGTAGTTCGGAGAGCCCAAGAGGCTCTTCGGAGAGCCCAAGAAGCGCTTCGGATGCCCCAAAAGGCTCTTCGGAGGCCCCACGAGGCTCTGCGGAGAGCCCAAGAGGCTCTTAGGTGGCTGCAGGAAGGTCTTCGGGGGCTCAAAGAGGCTCTTCGGAGAGCACCAGAGGCTCTTCCGAGAGGCTCTTCAGTGAAGGGGAGGGGGGGGCGGAGCCTTTTTGGACCCCCCCCCCTCTTCACCGTACTCGATAATTAATACACTCCGGAGGACCCCTGGCCATACTAACACCCACCGGGCCGCAGTAACAACCAACGGGCCGCAGTAACACCTTATCTCCCCGAACCCCCCCCCCACCTCGGCGCCGGCGCCGGCGCTGGCGGCAGAAAGCAGCGCCCACGGCAGGGACGCAGCGACGATGACCAGAGGCAGCACAGGGGGGGGGGGGGAGGGGGAAGGGTTCAAACCCCCCCCCCTGGCGCGGGGGGGGAGGGTTCAACCCCCCGCCGCCCCCCCTCGCGCCCGCACCACCTGGCGGCGGCCAGCAGCGCCGGCACTGGCGCCGGCGACGGCGGGAACGCAGCGACGCTGACCACCACTACCACCACCGCCACCACTAAAACCACCACCGCCGCCTCAACCCACCACCACCACCACCACCATCTCCGACGGTACCACACAACCACCACCACCACCACCACAGCCACCACCACCACCACAACCACCACCACAACTCACCATCACCACCACCACCACAAAAACCCACCACGACTACCACCACCACCACAATCTACCACACCACCACCACCACTACCACCACCACCACCACAACCACCACCACTACCAGCAGCACAACCCACCGCCACCACTACAAACCACCACACCACTACCACCACCACCACCACCGCCACCACCACCACACCAAACGTCGACACACCACCGCCACCACCACAACCCACCACCACCTCCACCACACCACCACCAACACCACCACCACCACCACACCACCACAACCACCAGCACCACAACTCACCATCACCACCACCACCACCAAAACAACCCACCACCACTACCACCACCACCACCACAATCTACCACACCACCACAACCACCACCACCACCGCCACAACCACCACCACTACCAGCAGCACAACCCACCACCACCACCACCACCACCACAAACCACCATACCACCGACACCACCACCACCTCCACAAACCACCGCCACAACCACAACCCACCACCACCACCACCACAACCACCACCCAACGCCACAACCACCACAACCACAACAAACCACCACACCACCAGCACCACAACCACCACCACCGCCACCACCACCACCACCACCACTCCCCCATCTCCCTCCCATAGTCAGATCGTCGCCCTCCGCCCCTCGGGCACCGATGGTTCGCACAGGCCCTCGACGGACCCCACGCGCCCCCTGATCTGTTCCTCCTCCTCCCCTCCTCCTCCGCCTCCTCCTCCTCCTCCTCCTCCTCCTCCTCCTCCTCCTCCTCCTCCTCCTCCTCCTCCCCTCCTCCCTCCTCCTCATCCTCCTCCTCCTCTTCCTCCTCCTCCTCCTCCTCCTCCTCCTCCTCCTCCTCCTCCTCCTCCCTTTTTCTCCACGCCCCCGCCCCGGGACGGGTCCGGCCAACCAGCTCCGAGCGGAAGGCGCACCCGCCGCAGAGCGGTGCCAAGCGCGTGCAGCGCTGCCGCCCAAGTGCAGCCGGGGCAACGACCCAAAGCGCGACGTGGCCGCCCCAAAGCGTGGCGGGCGAGGAGTGGGCCCGCGCCACGCGCAGCAGCTACCGCTGCGGCGCCTCGCATTCGAGGACCAGCGCACGGTGCTTGTGAACGTCTTTGTTATTCGGCGTCTCGACACTGGGCTGAAAGGGGGGAAGGGGGGGGGCTGGCTCCGGACCTCTGTGTAGCGCGACTATTTGCGACAGTGCGTCCCGTGGGGGAGCGACTCCACCTGCTCGAAAGAGGCGCCAAGAACAGCCAAGATCCCCTCCAGGGGGGGGGGAGGGGGGGGTTGCGAGGGCCCGCGCCAATTGGCAAAACAATGAATAAAAAAACGATCACCTTGCCTGAAGCGTTTTCGTTTGGAAGACCCGAATCCAGGAGCGGAGCGGCCACCCAAAGCGTGCGAGCAATGAAACGGCCCGAACCACGCGCAGCAGCTGCCGCTGCGGCGCCTCGCATTCAAGGACCAGCGAACGGCACGTGCCTCAGGCGTGTCCGTTTGGAAAGGCCGAAGGAACTTAAACTGAGCATTTTCTTAGGGTGGAGGGCTCAGGGTGGAATCCATATGGGCCTTCGCACCTCGGAAATCAATCCGTCCGTCTTGTGATTCACCTTTTGCAGATTCGAGCCTCGTAAATCAGTCGAAACGGCATTTCAGATTTCACCCTTTGCCCTCCACCCAAAGAAAATGCTCGGTTAAAGAGCACTGTATTGAGTCCTGAGTCTCTGACCCTGGAAAACGGCAGATGCAGATACTGCGGAACCCACTGTACAATTGGAATGTCGTGCCCTGGTTGACTTTGCCGAGGGCTAACCCGCTAGCACGCATCAGTAGAACATTATGAGAAAAAACATGGTGGCCTCGCGCGGCAACTCGAGACAAAAATTGCGACAGATTGAAGTCGGATTTACGTAGGGTGCACGTCGGATCATCACCGCCCGATCACTAGTCCATGTCTTGCGGAGCGGCAGTACGACAATTGCGCGCCGCGCGAGGCCTAAAATTCCCATAAAAAACGCCTTGCCCAGGATTCACGCCTCTGCCCACGCACACCAAGTTGGCAGCGCTACCCAACGGTCCGCCACCATGCTCTGCCACAGTGAGGCGCGCGTCGGGCCAACTGCATGTTCATGCGTACGCTTAGGTCGGGCATGTCTTCCTACAGGCGGATTTGGGACGAAACATGACATATATAGAAACAACTCCCAAAAATAGAAACAATGCGCCCGACTTAAGCGAACGCACGCCACGCCTGATCTGTCCAGGGCAGCCTCTCTGCAGCACCCACCGCATCGAGGCCAGCATGGGTCGACTTGATTGGCATCTCTGGCAGAAGAAGACACCCACATTTAGGTCGGGCATGTCCTCCCACAGACGGATTTGAAAGGGAAAATATGGTTAGTCAAAAAATGTACAAATAATCCAAACCTGATCCCTAGACTATTGTTGATTATTTTTGAGTACTCCTCCTGTGAAAGGGCGTGCCCAACTTAGACCCACATTAGCGTAAACGTTGGACGGTCCGCGCGCACTGCAAGGATCGGCGCCGGAGGCGCCGCCAGGGGCCGGCGCAGATGCAAGAAGTCCGATCGAGCCTTCGAGCCTGCCTTGCCATCACTCGGACGTCCAATCCCCGTGCATTTGTTGATGGGCCTGTTTTCCACCACCACAATAACTTGGAGGAGGACGACGAGGAGCAGGAGGAGCACGAAGAGGACGAGGAGGTGGAGAAGGAGGAGGAGGAGGAGGAGGACCCCCTCCCCCTCCAACTTATGGTGGTGGTGGAAAACAAGCCCATCATTTGTCGGCTTCGTGCGTTGTTATTGGCCGCAAGGTGGTCCCAAGATGTTCCTCGATGGTCCCCGCCGAGAGAAACATGCACGCGTCCTAGCGATACCAAGGTTTATGATTGTGCCGATTTTTGGTGATCCGACCCACCGCTCCGAGGCCAGCATGGGTCGAGTTGTGCGTATTGCCGAGGCCACCGGACAGGCCATGGCCGAGGTACAGGCGAAGCTTTCCGTGTCACGCTTCGGTAGAGAGCAGAACAACCGCCCTCATACGGTAGGTACGTGTGGCGTCTGCGCGCGCAAACCGATGGCGACCCCGTTCGCTCGAGGTTTAAATTCCATCGCGTCCTGTGGCGTTACAGCCCCCCTCGGCACTTCCGCATCGTTCTATCATGCGGAGTTCAACCATGAACGCCTCCGCCGGCATCGCCGGCGCGCACGGCCCTACGGCAATGGCACCCCGACAAGCAAAGCCGTTGAATGGACGCACGCACGGAAGGAAGCGATCAGGACCGGGCTGTTGAGTACACCCTGCGACATGCTCAAGAAATCCTGGGTTAAGAAATTCACAGTCTTAGCAGTTGAAATAAAAAAGCAGGAATTATTTTAGAATCTTATGACTTGCATTGAAACATTAAGAAGAATCGAGACTCTGGCCGAAAACGTAAGTTTCCTTAAGCATCGCCTAGGGTGTACGCGCCCAGGCCGGATGCCCCCCCTGGCCTCGGGGCCTCCGCGGAGCGCAGGCAGAGCCCTGCACACACAAGGCCCCCCCAGACTTCTCAAGAGGTGTCCTCCCTCCTCCCTCCTCCTCCTCCCTCCTCCCTCCTCCCCCCTCCTCCTCCTCCCTCCTCCCTCCTCCTCCTCCCTCCTCCCTGCTCCCTCCTCCCTCCTCCTCCTCCCTCCTCCTCCCCCCCTCTCCTCCTCCTCCTCCTCCTCCTCCTCCGCCCGTTGGCCCCGCAGGCCACCCCCTCGTGCACGCAGCCGCTGCCCCCGGAGGCAGGGGAGGCCAGAACACGAAAGAAGCCATGCTGCACCCTGCGAAATGCTTCCGAAATCATGGGTTAAGAAATTCATAGTCTCAGAATTTGCATATAAAAACATCAAATAATTCTACGATTTTTTAGGATTTACATTGAGACAGTAAGAATAATCAAGACTCTGGCCGAAGCCTTCCGCTCTCTTACGCATCGCCTAGGGTGTACTGCTTTTCCGCGTCCCTGCCGCCCCGCCGCCCAGCCGGAGCGCAGCCTGCTCCCAGCTGCACCGCGCCCGGGCGGCGCGGCAGCCGACCCCCCCCCCCAGTGCCCTGACCTTCCAGAGAGCTATTTTGTAGCACCGGAGACCTAAAAACCTAAAAAACGAAACTAAACAGCCTAAAACCAAGACGTAGAATAGCTCTAGGATAGGTGTTTAAGTCGCGTGCTATTGTTTAGCCCTCCTGGAAGGTCAGGGGTGGGAACCCCCAAGCTCGGGCCCCCCATCGCGGCCGAGGACCACTCAGTGCTCCCGAGAAACGACTAATCGGGCCTATACTGGCAACGCAACAACGGTGCAGCTCTACGGCCATGCCTTTCAGCAGTGCTACTGCGCAGCCTCCCCAAGGGCGGATGTGGATATGCGCGGCAGCGCCACTGGAAGATAACTATAGCTCGTTCGCGGCCTGATCCAACGGACACACGCACTAGCGCTGAGACGAGATGCTGTCTTGGCCTCACCCTCACTCCGCAGTCGCGAGGGGCTTCGAGCCATCCGGCTTCTTGGACAGCCCCATGAGGCTCGCGATCCAGCACAACCAGGTCAGGCCGACGCTGACGCACATGACCGTGAAGACAGAGTCGTCGAAGTCTGGGAGGAAGCCACCATTGAACTTGACTGTGAGCAATACCCAGGTCGAAAAGACGCACATGAGGGTCGCTGGTGGGAGGGCGTCCTTCGTGCCGTTGTAACAATTGATTTCCCACGAAATAGACAAGCCCTCGTAGGATGATGCCAACTACCGACCTATACCGATCCTGGCCAGGAAAGCATGAAAACTGCCCCTAAGGTCAGGGCTGGCCTGGTCAGCATCAGTGTAGGTGGATAGTTAGAGTCCCCCGACCTCGAGAAGGTACGAGATTGTGCAGATGCAGTAGATGCCCATGTCTTTGATGAAAAAAATCGGCGCCAAGCGGAGAAGCGCGTAAGCCGCATTCTCGGCCATGAACCGGCGCTGCGTCGGCGTTTTGTTTTCCTCTTCCTTGCTTGCTTCTTGATCCCACCCGCGCATAGGGCTTGGCGGTTTGAGCGTGGGGAGCACGTTGATGAGGAAGACATCGATGAATCCTCCATGAAAGAGAAACATGGCACACATTGCAGTGAAGGAGATTGGCATCTGCATGGGGTTTGCGATCTCGAAACCCATTGCGAACGCTAATCAGAGAAACAAGAGAAGCACTGCCTTACCTGCGCTTGTGGCGTTAAATTCGAGCAAAAACTTGAGCAAGAATGCTGTCACCCAACATATTTCAAACAACAGGTGCTACAAGCACGTGGCAAGTGATGGCGTGTATGCACGTGCTCGTGTATTGGCAGGATGCGAGCAGTATTAGCAATGCCGAATTACAATAAAGATATGAAGTAAGGAAACACGCACAAACAAAAAACAAGTATTCCTGGACCGGAACCACGCACGCGCGCTGTGCGCGCTGAGGTTCTAGCAAGCTGTGGCCCAAGGCCAGGGCACGCAGCATGAGAAAGAATGTTATGAGCAACACGTTCATCATTACCAGTACAGTCGGGGCGTTGACCTAAGGAACCCTAGATAAGGAACGAGGCCCCTTTCTCCCATACATTGAACTTCGATTTCCCATGGGAAATCTCAGGAAACCGAAGCTACACTGCAGAACAAGCAAGGAACACCGAGCCCCTCCCCAACGAAAAGGGTTCCTTCTTCAGGGCCCCGACTGTACCAGGCAGATGAGCAATGAGCTCAAGGTGCCCCCAGTCCGTGCTCCCACGGATGCCGTGCGACCGCCCATGACCCTGCATCCTCCTCGTCGCAAACCCCCCGTTCCCCCTTACTTTCCCCCTGGGCGGGGGACGGTGGACGCACCCCGCTCGGCGCGGAACGTCAGATGAGAACGGCTGCTCAGCGCGCAACATAACACAAGACCAGGCGCCGGCACGACAGACGTGTTGCCCTCATCGCGTAGCATGAAAAAAAGGATTGGCGGCACGATGGACGTGTTCCGCTCGTCTCGGAGTCCTCCTGGGACATCTCGGGACGCCCTGGGGCTGCCTTGGGCCGTCCTGGGACGCTATTGGGCCATCTCGGGCTCCTCCAGGTGCCCTCTTCGGCCACCCTGGGGCGTGGCCCTCTTTGCCCGCTTCTGGGCACCCCAAGGCTCCGTCAGAAAAATACCTAAAGCGAGAAACACCCAGGAGGGCTGGTTGGGATCGTCTTGGACCTCAGCCAGACCCTCCTGAGGCCTCTCGCGTCCTTCTTTGCGCCTCGCCGTGCCAGGAATTTGGGCCCCCTTGCCACGCTCTTGCAGCCTCTGAACTTCACCTTGGAGTCATCGCCGGCCCACTTGGGCTGTCTTGGGCCGTATCAACGGGTCCCGTAGAGGAGTGCCCTGAGGCTAATGCAACCCTGAGAGGAAAAGGGCCTGTAAACTTCTGACGGGCCAGGACCCCCGGTTTCCCGGCCCGGGCGCTACTAGGCGCAGCCGGGCGCTGCCGGGGTGTCGCATGGGCCTCTAGGGCGGTGACCCCGCCGAAAAGAGCCCCAGAACGGGCGAAGGGCGCCCCAAGAAGCCCCCAGCAGGTTCCAGGAGGCCTCCGAGACATCCCAAGAGCTGTCCAAGAGGCCCAAGATGGCCCCATGACGGCCCAAGGAGCCTTCGAGACGCCCCAAGACAGCTCCCGGCGCTCCAAGGCGTCCAAAGAGGCCCCCGAGACCGCCCCGAGACAACCACAAGAGGGCCCCAAGACGGCCCCCAAGAGGGCCCCAAGAAGGTGCAAGAGGCACCCCAAAACGACCCAAGAGGGCCTCAAGATGGCCCCAAAAGGAGCCCAAGAGGAGGAACACGAACCGAAAATCCCAGCCTTCCGCCCCAAGAGGCGCCCAGGAGGTCCCAAAGCCCCCAAAAAGCCCCAGAGAAACTCAAAGAGACCCCAAGGTCCTAAAAGAGCCTCCCAGAATCATCCAAACTGCGGGCGGCGCGCTGGGCTTCTCGGGAGGGCGGGGCAGGGGGGGCTGAGGGCGGTGCGACGACGCCTAAATAAAGCGGTCGCGGCGGAGGGGGCGGCGCGTTGAGCTTCTGGGGAGGGCGGGGCGGGGGGCGGTGAGGGCGGTGCGACGGGGGGGAGGGCGGTGCGACGCCAAAATAAAGTGGTCGCAGCGGATGGGGCGGTGCGCTGGGTTGCTGGGCAGGGGGGGGCGGGGGGGGGGCGGGGCGGGGCAGTCAACGCTGCTGGGCAAGGCTGGGGCGAGGGCGGTGCGACGACGCCGAAATAAAGTGGTCGGAGCTCTAGACACCCTGCGCAAGAGAATACATTAACGCCCCTGAGGCCTACAAGACATTCAAAATCCCCTCCAGAACGGCCTCGAAGCGCCCCAAGAGGGCCCCAAGCAGGTTCAGAGAGACCCCTGGACGGCTTCCGACGACGTCAGACGAGCCAGAAACGCCCTACGACGGATAAGGAGGCGATCCAAATACCGCAAAGTGTTCCCCGAAAGGTTTCCACTGCGGCTCGGAGAACAACGTGACACCCGGTCCGATAAGTGATCCAAGCCCTGGACCCTAACGTTCGGCCAGAGAGGCGCTTTTCAAAAAGGCAAGGGGAAGCGGTGATTAGCCGTAGGCGTCTTCGATTACCTCTTCGGTCCCTTTTACTTGCGGCCATGGGGACAACTCTGCCATCTTGGGCTCCGCCGGACACCCCACGAAAAGCCCTCTTCGGACCTCTTGAGGCGTTTTTGTGCTCTCTTGAGCTGTGGTGGGGTCGCCTTGGGCAATATCGGGGTCGTCTCGGGTTCCTCTTGGGCTCTCTCGGGTGTCCTTGCGGGCAGTCCTTGGCCATCTGAGGACGCTTCTTGGGGCACCCATGGCACTCTTTTGAGCACTCACTGGCTCCTCCCAAGCACCACCGGAGCCCTCATTAATCGAAAAACTGGCGAAAGGTGGAACCCGATCCGCCACCGTCATTACCCTCGGCACGCAGTGGCGTGCCCCAAGGCTCCTGCAGTTGTGCAAGCTCGATAGAGGCTTCGTAAGGTTCTGCAGGGCCCGGACCACAAAACTCCCAGAGCTCCTGGGTGCTCCTCGGGCCACCGTGGGCCAGGGGGACTGTGGCCCCGCCCAAGACGACCCGAAAAACCGAGGGGGAGGAGCGCGACGATGGAGAGTGGAGGGAAGAGGATATGGAGGAGGGGGGACCGGGGAGCAAGAGGAGAAGGAGGAAGAGGAGGAGGAGGAGCGTCTGCGGAGGGAGGAGGGAGGAGAATCGCGGAAGGAGGAGGGGGAAGAGGAGCGCGAAGGGCGGAGGAGGAGGAGAGAAAGACGGGTACTGAGAAGAAGGGGGGAAAGGAGAAGGACAGTAAGGAGGAGGAGGAGGAGCAGGAGGAGGAGGAGCACGGAAAGCGGAGGATGAGCGCAGGCATGGAGGAGCACGGGAAAGGCAGGGAGGATCGACGTGGAGGAGCAGCGCGGAGGGAGGGAGGGCAGGGGCAGGAGGAGGGGAGAACGGAGGAGGACGAGCGTGTGGGAGGCAGGGTCGCTGCACGTCGCCGACGATCTACTGCCACGAAGAGCGGGTGAGTGAGCGTGGGAGTACAGTCGAGGCGTTGACCTAAGGAACCCTAAAGAAGGAAGGAGGCCCCTTTTTCGTAAGTTAAACTTCGACTTCCCATCGAAAACTGAAGGGAAACCTTAGGCAAGGTGTGGAACAATTGAAGACCATCGAGCCCCTCCCCTACGAAAAGGGTTCCTTCTTCAGCGCCACGGCTGTTGGTGGAGGAGAAAAAAAAAGCGTGGGGGGGGGGGGGGGGCAGCGGGAACGTCGGCGGCGCGAGGGCTGGCCAGCCCCTGGGTGGAGAGGGGCTCGCGCAGCGCGGCGCTCCTGTGTAGCCCGAGAACCCGATGTACAGGGACTTCGCGTCCGCCTGCCGACGGGGCGCTGGGGCACATCGGGCCGCCCCCACAGCCGGGCGCCCCCCTCCTCCAGCTTCTGAGTGGCCCTGCTTCCTCCTGCTTCCTCCTCCTGCGCTTCCTCCTCCTCCTCCCAACCGCCATGATGATCGTAAGAATACGAATAGTAATTATATTCATAGTACTAATAACAGTGATAAGAACACGAATGATGCTAATACTCGTAATAGAAATACTGAACCCTAGAATCATAATCAGCATCAGCATCATCAGCAGCAGCATCATCAGCAGCAGCATCAGCATCAGTATCAGTATCAGTATCATCATCATCATCATCATCATCATCATCATCATCAGCATTAGCATCAGCATCAGCATCATCATCATCATCATCAGCATCATCATTATCATCAGCATCATCAGCAGCAGCATCATCATCTTCGATATCATCAGAAGCAGCAGCAGCATCATCATCGTCGTCATAACCATCAGCATCGCCATCACCACTATCACCATATGCAATGACCATTTGCGGTGTGATCGTCAGAATCCGCATAAGCATCAACATCAGAACCAGTACCATCAGCATCGTCCTCATCATCAGCCTCAACATCAGCATCAGCATCAATATCAGCAGTATCCTCCTCATCATTAGCATCATCATCATCAGTATCATCATCATCATCATCATCATCATCATCAACATCAACATCGTCATCATCACCATCATCATCCTCATCATCAGCAGCATCCCCATCATCAGCATTATCATCATCGTCAGCATCATCAGCAGCAGCACCATCAGCAGCATCAGCATCCTCCTCATCATAATCACCAGCAGCAGCAGCATCGCCTTCGTCATCACCATCAGTACGACCATCACCACCATCACCATATGGAATCACCATCCGTGGCATCACCATCAGCATCAGCATCAGCAACATCATCATAAGTATCACCATTCGTAAGTATGATCGTCATCATCATCACCAGCATCATCATCACCATCATCTTCAGTGTAATCATCAACATCAACATCATCAACATCAGCACCATCATAATCATCCTCATCAGCATCATCATCCTCATCATGAGCAGCAGAAGTAGCATCAGCATCATCATCAGCAGCAGCACAGGCATCAGCAGTATAAGAATCATCATCTTCATAGCCATCATCATCCTCTTCATCATCATCGTGATATCGATCATCATCATCATCATCATCATCATCATCATCATCATCATCATCAGAACCGACACCATCGTCAGAATCGTCATCAGCATCAGCAGCAGCAGTATCATCATCAGCATCATGCTCCTCCTCCTCATCATCATCATCAGCAGCAGCAGCCGCATCA